GATGGGTTCACAGCCAAATTCTACCAGACACACAAAGAGGAGCTGGTACCATTCCTTCTGAAACTATTCCAAATAATCCAAAAAAAGGGAATCCTTCCCAAATCATTTTATGAGACCAACATCATCCTGATACCAAAACCCGGCAGAGACTCAACAAGAAAAGAAAACTTCAGGCCAATATCCATGATGAACATAGATAAAAAAATCTTCAATAAAATACTGGCAAGCCGATTGCAACAGCACATCAAAAAACTTATCCATCATGATCAAGTAGGATTCATCCCGGGGACGCAAGGCTGGTTCAACCTACCCAAGTCTATAAACGTAATTCACCACATAAATAGAACCAAAAACAAAAACCACATGATTATCTCAATTGACGCAGAGAAGGCATTTGACAAAATTCAACAGCCCTTTATGCTAAAAACCCTCAATAAACTCGGTATTGACGGAACGTGTCTCAAAGTAATAAAAGCTATTTACAACAAACACATAGCCAATATCATACTGAATGGGCAAAAACTGGAAGCATTCCCTTTGAAATCTGGCACTAGACAAGGATGCCCTCTTTCACCACTCCTATTCAATATAGTACTGGAAGTTCTAGCCAGAACACTCAGGCAAGAAAAAGAAATAAAGGGTATTCAAATAGGAAAGGTGGAAGCCAAATTGTCTCTATTTGCAGACGACATGATAGTATACCTAGAAGACCCCATCACCTCAGCCCAAAAACTCCTGAAACTAATAAGCAACTTCAGCAAAGTCTCAGGATATAAAATCAATGTGCAAAAATCACAAGCATTCCTATACACCAATAACAGACTGAAAGAAAGCCAAATCAGGAAGGAACTGCGATTCACAATTGCTACAAAAAGAATAAAATACCTCAGGATACAATTACAAGGAACGTAAGAGACCTCTTCAAGGAAAACTACAAACCACTGCTCAATGAAATAAGAGAGTACATAAACAGATGGAGAAACATTCCATGTTCGTGGTTAGGAAGAATCAATATCGTGAAGATGGCTATACTGCCCAAAGTAGTTTACAGAATCAATGCTATCCCCATCAAACTACAATTGACTTTCTTCACAGAACTGGAAAAAACCACCATGAACTTCATATGGAACCAAAAGAGAGCCCGCATAGCCAAGTCAATTCTAAGCAAAAAGAACACAGCGGGAGGCATCACACTACCCGACTTCAAACTATACTACAAGGCTACAGTAATCAAAACAGCATGGTACTGGTACCAAAACACAGATATAGACCAATGGAACAGAACAGAGGCATTGGAGGCAACACAACATATCTACAACCATGCAATCTTTGATAAACCTGACAAAAACAAGCAATGGGGAAAGGATTCCCTGTTTAATAAATGGTGTTGGGAAAACTGGCTAGCCATGTGCAGAAAGCAGAAACTGGACCCCTTCCTGACACCTTACACTAAAATTAACTCCAGATGGATTAAAGACTTAAACATAAGACCTGGCACCATAAAAACCCTAGAAGAAAATCTAGGCAAAACCATTCAGGACATAGGAGTAGGCAAGGTCTTCATGAACAAAACACCAAAAGCATTGGCAATAAAAGCCAAAATAGACAAATGGGACCTAATGAAACTCCACGGCTTCTGCACGGCAAAAGAAACAGTCACTAGAGTGAATTGGCAACCAACAGAATGGGGAAAAAATTTTGCAGTTTACCCATCTGACAAAGGGCTAATATCCAAAATTTACAAAGAACTCAAACAGATTTACAGGAAAAAAACAAACAAGCCCATTCAAAAATGGGCAAAGGATATGAACAGACACTTTACAAAAGAAGACATAAATTAGGCCAACAAACATATGAAAAGATGCTCATCATCACTGGTCATTAGAGAGATGCAAATCAAAACCACATTGAGATACCATCTCACTCCAGTTAGAATGGTGATCATTAAAAAATCTGGAGACAACAGATGCTGGAGAGGATGTGGAGAAAAAGGAACACTTTTACACTGTTGGTGGGAGTGTAAATTTAACCATTTGAACTTACATTCAATGTAAGTTCAACCATTGTGGAAGATAGTGTGGCGATTTCTCAAGGCCTTAGAAATAGAAATTCCATTTGACCCAGCAATCTCATTACTGGGTATATATCCAAAGGACTATAAATCGTTCTACTATAAGGACACATGCACATGAATGTTCATTGCAGCACTGTTTACAATAGCAAACACCTGGAACCAACCCAAATGCCCATCAATGATAGACTGGATTGGGAAAATGTGGCACATATACACCATGGAATATTATGCAGCAATCACAAATGATGAGTTCATGTCCTTTGTAGGGACATGCATGAATTTGGAGAACATCATTCTCAGCAAACTGACACAAGAACAGAAAATGAAATACCACATATTCTCACTCATAGGCAGGTGATGAAAAATGAGAACACATGGACACAGGGAAGGGAGTACTACACACTGGGGTCTATTGGGGGGAATAGGGGAGGGACAGTGGCGGGGGGAGCTGGGGAGGGATAGCCTGGGGAGAAATGCCAAATGTGGGTGAAGGGGAGGAAGGCAGCAAAACACACTGCCATGTGTGTACCTATGCAACTATCTTGCATATTCTGCACATGTACCCCAAAACCTAAACTGCAATAAAAAAAATTAAAAAGAGGAACTTTACCTGATGAAGAAGAATCTGATTGAAAGATTAGATTAATCTGTAACTTAGAAAGTGATAAAGAAATAGTAATTATCACCATCATCTAATAATATTACAGTAAAGGAAATAACTTGGGTTTTCATCTGGCTATATGTTAATGTAGATGATGCACTTTCTGTGCCACATGCACACATACAAATATACCCACTTCCTGGTTTCAATTATTGCTTCATTTCCTCCTTCGTGCTAAGTGATGCCGCCTACTTGTTGAAAGGATACAAGAGTTCTCTCTTAGTCTTCTGCCAGCCCTTCCCCAATTTTCCAGTCTTTGTGTTTGTTAATCACATGTTTTCTTTTTTCCAGGATGAGAACTCAAGCATACTTTACTTAAAACATGTTACAGAACAGATCACGGAAAACCCCTTCACTTTCTAGGAACATTGACAGCTACGTGAAGGCCTTAGAGAACCATTCCCTCATTTAATTTCTGGCTTTGACTTATACCCAGCCACGTATTTCAGAGTTTGAAGTGTGGAAATGTGATGCTTTTCTGCTCAATATTCATGTCTTCTTTAGATAACAGAAACTCCGTTTTTCTTGGGAAACCACTTTTCCCCGAGTCTCAGTCCAAGGGCTTGAGAGTGGTTACCTGCCCCTCTCCTGGACCATCAAGGTGACAGCCATGATCCATTCCAGGCTGCAAAGCATCAGCCTTGGAACTTCTCTTGGTCTTCTTTTGTAGCAAATCTAGTGACCTGTGAGCTTGGCACTACAGTTGCCCATCATTATCACAGTTGAGTGGAGACTACTGAAAATGAGGCTAACATTAGCAGCCTTGTGCGTGGACAGAGAGAAAGCCATGCAAGGCATTAACCAGCCTGAGCAGAAACATTGTGTTAGCTTCGTTTTACTTCAACTGGACACTGCCACAGGGGCCCCTGGTGGGGACACAGTGACACAGTGTCTACTGATACTGCCCTTATTCAAGAGGTCAGTGCTGCCCTTCACCCCTATCCCAAACCCTACTCCCTGGCTGGAATCTCATAACTCCTCCAACAATTTAAAATCACTCTCCTGCCTTTTGTTAGATTTCTGCTTCCAACTCTGCCCCTGTCCCCTGCCAAGATGCATCAGCCTCATGGCAGAGACACCTCTTCATGTCCCAGCAAGTACATTTGTGTGGTCCATCAGGAACCCTCTCAGGGCAAATAGCAGCCTCTCCATCACCAGGTGACCTTATCTTTTGACCAGAGAGCCTTAGACTTTCCACCTTTCATTGAGGCCCCACGGTCTTCATGCCAAAGAATGAGGTGCCAGGCTTCTGCCTGGATGTGCGTGGCCTTGACACCAGTGCTATGTGAGACTGCTGGCTGCTCACACAAACCCCAATCTGCAGAAGAGGAGGTTGGAATGTCTTCATGAGTCTACAGGGAGGATATTCCTTCAAATATTCATCAGTGTGCATGTGGCTGTTTGTTCTGTGAGATAGCCCAGCCATATCCCAGAGCTGATTAAACACCATTACACCACAGATATTATGCCCAACGCTGTGATCTTCTGGGATAATACTCTGATGGTCTCTGGTTCATCTGAAGCTCACTCAATGTCACAGTTGCTGGTGACCCACTGTGATGCTTCTGGGCCACATTCTGTGTAGCTAAATTGTTTGAGACATTAACATACCTGGAAGGACCTTTCCCGAGTCCATTAAAAATTCTCTAGTCTTTTTAGGCCACTTAAGAAAGGGTCATAGCTAGCATAGTGTGGTCTACACATTCCTGACTTGACACCACCCTTCCTGGTAGGAACCAGCCGCAAGAACAAAGGCCATTCAGGTTTCCTACCAATGCCTTATTCTGGACACATTCAAAACAGCCACAGTCAAACCAAAGTTTCAGGCAGGTCTTATCTAAGACTGGTTTGTGTTTCCATAGTCACTTATAAGACAAGTCCTGGGACCCAGAATGATTTTCCCATGGAAACAGTGACATAGACTGTAACAAAGGCATCAGGCCGAGCCACAAGTGCCTACAGCAACCATGGTGCCAGGAGCACTATTTCAATAACTGTCAATCACTTCGTGTAACATTGCTTCTACAGGAAAGCTCCAATTGAGTTTCAAGCTCCAGTGCAGGATTCTAGGAACACATTTCCAAGCCCCCACAGGCATCTTGGCAGCATGAGAGAATTACCTCTTTTGATCAAGCCTTCACTCATCCTCACATATACTTATTGAAACTCTATTTTGCATGAGCCACTGCTCTAGGTGCTGGGGATACGGCAGTGAACCAAGGTCACCCACAAAGTCCTGAAGTGGAAACACAAAGTGATCTGCACCACATTGGCCAGCATAATGAAGGGAGGGTCATCTTACTGTTTCTCCCACTTTGGCCAGTGAGTTCCAAAGGCAACTTTCCATTTTCACCCTAGAATGCAGAAAGGCAGACTCTTGGTTTCCTAGCTTAACACTGTTTAGATCTAGCCTTCACTTTGCATTCTATTTTTGAAATTTAGTTGTTGACATTCAAATCAATTAGAAGCAAACCATCAAGATAAGACATATTCTCTCTTCTTCTATGTGGCAAAAAAGGAACCTGGGGGACACATGCAGTCTTAATTGAGCTTGACAGGCTTGCTTGAAAATTTTGAAGGATTTGAGGGGAAGGGGAGGAGGGTGATGCCCATGCCAATAGAACCACCAAACAGTGGATTTCCAGTCAATCCAGGTGGCAAGAAAGGAGCTGCATTCTTCTGCTTCCCAGCTGCTCTTGGAGATTCTTCCAGGTGAGTTAATCTGGAATCTGTTTACCTCTCTAACATTTGCTTACTCTCTTAACACACTGAGAATTCTGCTGCCAGAATGACCGTAGAATGGAGTTAACATAACTCGTTCTTTACTGCCTCTCATGTACTCATCCAGAGTATTTAAAGTGTTCCCAAATTTAAAGGGATGTTTGCTAATTTTCAAATACTTATTGTCCCTTATAAAGTGATCTTATAAGGTTTTTTTTCCCCCTTCTTGGACCATATTTAATGGTTTTTTTTTTTTTTTTTGTGATTTAGGCGGTGGGGAACAACTCTTCCTCACAGAGAAGAAAACAAACTCCAAGAGTAGTAAATCTTCATGACATTTATTCCTTCTTCTCTTCCTTCTTAATAGGTTTATTTATCTGGATTAAAACTCACATTAAGCTTTTTTTGGGGAGGGTATTTGCAAAAGGCCCACAATAAAAACCAGTGACTTCCAATGGCATCATTAGATTATGAGCTTCCTTGGAACAGGGAGTATCTTTAGTTCTGCTGAAGAGTACAGGGTGAAAGTTAGACAATAAATAACAAATCTAACAGTTAGGCAGATATTGCTCAAGAACTGGTTTTTACTAGCAGGGTGGCACACTTCTCTATTGACCTAATATCAGAGAAAGCAAAGCAGTCTTTTAAGACACAGACAAAATGTTTCTGAAATACATCTGTTTAAGATCATGGGAGCAGATAATTATATTTGTTATATTTAGAAATAATAAATTTGACCTATATATCTGTAGATTATTTAAAAATTCTTTCTTGATAACTTATATTGCCACAGAGATTTTCCCAAATCCACTGAAATGAGTTCAGATGCTCAATGTTTGTAAATAACATCCCTCCGATCTCCTATAGAGCAAGTGGAACTGTATTCCAAACCTAGGGCCAGAAACTCGAGAGCATGTGCCAGCCCATGCCACCAGAGCCCAATCTGTGCCCATTTCTGTTGCCGCTGGTGCACACATCAAGAGGAGAGGTGGAGGTGGCTAGGTCTCCTCTGCTTTTTTGCCCTTCTATGGGGTTAGGAAGTAAAAGTGGGGCCAAAAGAAGAGAGAAATAAACAAGTATTCTCCTGTTCCCTTTAGGAGTCTGAACATGGAGAACAGAGGCCCAGCACCTGCTGGAAGACAGTAGTTTCTGGAAGACATCCAGAAAAGCCCTCATGTTGTGCCTCCAAAGGCAAAGTGTCACCTTTTCTGGTCTGCTTGGCTTATTGTTAGACAATGTGACTCCACGCTTTGCCACCTTCTGGCTGTGTGACTTTGGAAAAGCAACTAAGCTTCACTCTTCTCATTTATAAAATTCAGAATAATATAAATTTTACCAGTTAGGGCCAAGGATTGAATGAATTAAAGCATAATAGAGTGAATAATAAAGGGAAGGTCATCTTACTGTTTCTTCTACAATGGACAGTGAGTTCCAAAGATAAATTTCCATTTTCACCCTAGAATACAGAAATGCAGACCCTTGGTTTTCTTGCTTAACAATGTTTAGATCTACTCTTCACTCTGCATTCTATTTTTCAAATTTAGCTGTTGACACTCAAATTGATTTGAAGCAAACCATCAAGGTAAGACATATTCTCTCTACTTCCATGTGGCAAAAAAAGAACTCTGCCAGAAGATAGCAGTTTCTGGTGGACATCCAGGAAAGCTCTCATATTGTGTCTTCAAAAGCAAAGTGTCACCTTTTCTGGTCTGCCGGGCTTATACTTAGCCAATTTGACTCCACTCTTCGTGCCACTTTCTAGCTGGCAAATACAGGGCATAATAGATGAATGAATTAAAGCATAATAGAGAATGAATTAGAGCATAATAATGAATTACAGCATAATAGAGACACCATATGTGGCATATAGTAAGCACGCCAGAAAGAGTGGCTAGTATTGGGTTTTCCTAACATAAAATTACAAAACCTGTACTTTATTCCCCAGGTTGGAGAAGATGCTTTTCCATTTAAGCCTGAGATGCAAAGATTCAGCAGTTTGCTGGCAATGTTTTGTACGTAGCATGATGGTTTGTAAGAGAATTCTAGCCTTTATTCAAATGCTGTGCTAAACTCTGAAAAGAAGCATGGCTAGTTCTTTTTGTTCAAGAATGAATGACATCACTACCACAGTCCTTGAAAACCAAATGAGAGAGTCATGGAGGGTGCTTAGCAGAGTTTCCCCACATATTTCTAGTGAATTTTGTGCAAGCTGACATTGCAACCCCAGGCAAATAAAAAGTTAGGTAACACTTTCCTTAAGTACCTTCTACAGAAAGAACACTGTGCTCTAGTTACAGAGCCATGAGTGGTTGGGGAAACGGATGCAGTAAAACATCCAAGCTAGGCTGGGCATAGTGGTTCATTCCTGTAATAGTAGCACAACTTTGGGAGCGCGAGGTTGGTTGATCACCTGAGATCAGGAGTTCAAGACCAGCCTGGCCAACATGGCAAAACCCCATCTCTGCTAAAAATACAAAAATGAGCCAGGCATGATAGTGCACACCTATAGTCCCAGCTATTTGGGAGGCAGAGGCAGAATTGCTTGAACCCTGGAGGCAGAAATTGCAGCAAGCTGAGATCGTACTTTTGCACTCCATCCTTGGTAATTGAGCAAGACTTGAAAAAATAAAAATAAATTTAAAAAAAGAACACCCAGGGCTATATATAAAGATGGAGCCAGTGTGGATTGAGCCCTGAGCTGGACATCAGAAGAGCCTGGGTCCTTGGCCCTTCCCCTCCCCTTAATAGCTACATGATCTTGGGTATGGCAGTCAAGGTCTCTAGGCCTATGTGCTCAAGTGTACAATGCATGGAGTGAATCTATAGTTCCTTTCTAATTTGTGGCCCCAGTTCAGAAGAAAAAGGAAACATGAAACGATATGAGATGAATAACAGAGTAATACTCACTGCATCATAAATCCTGAGGTGGCTACCCTGGACCAAAGGGGTCATCAGGTTGAAGTTTGTCTACTTTTCCCAATTAGGTTTGTTTAAATGTTTTAAATCCTTGAACTACACACTTGCCTAAGCTGATGGGAAGGAGCTAGTGCTGAGTACATTCATTCACTGGGGCATAAATCTGGGCTGTTGGTGAAGGCTGGAAACGCTGGCATATGACCCTATCAGAAGCCTTAGTAAGGAAACAGCCACTGATCAGTTCATTGCCACAAAGGGCTGCAAAGCCCTGAGGCAGCCTGAGTTAGGAAAGAGGCTTTACCTCCCAGGAGAAAGCAAAATTATCTCATGGAAATTCAGGATTTCTCACCTGCGAATGAAGTTCTGCCTGTGCATCACTTTGCAAGGAGAATCAATGTCAAGCTTTAAGCAGACCCACCTTGAAGGAAGACAAGGCAGGCTGCTGTGCTGAGGTATGGGCTGAACTGGGGTGAGCCTCTCCCATGCCTGCTGCCCAGCAGTCCACCCTAAAGATAAACCAGCCCCAACTGGCTAAGACCTTATTCCTCCATAGCCAGTGGGGGACAAATGTGTACCCAACTAGACTTTTCCATGGAGGTTTCAGACACCAGTATCTGTAGGAGGCTGTGAGCTGTTCATTTCAGCCCCTTTCCATTCGAGATTCTGGGTGCCCCCGAAGTTCAGCCCCTTTCCATTCGAGATTCTGGGTGCCCCTGAAGTTCAGCCTATTGGCCTCTCCCAGATCATGGGCACCCACCCCTGTTCCCACCTCTGTTGGCAGGGCCTTGGCAAGAGGTCTTTCCATTTCCAAAACCTGGAAAGACCCTGCAGTGAATCATAAGTCACAGTGCTCTCTTGGGATCCTGTCACAGGAAGTAGCGGGAAACAGGATGCCTTCTCATCCCCACACTGGTGTCAGCTGTCAGGACTGTGGTTTCTCAGAAACATACTGGGTGACAGCCTTTGCAGACGCTCTAAGGTGAGAAAGCTCCCAAAGGGTCAGAGAATGCCCATTTCCACCTGTAACAGAAGTCTCCTAGCACTGCTATGATTAGGAAGAAATAGTAATCGTTAAATCAAACATACCATGAGAAAACATGCAGACATGGATTCTACACTTGCCGCGAGTTCTCATGCCCTGCAGACTTTCATCATCCTGACCCTTCCAACCTAGAACATTGTCTTTTGCTAGCTAATCTGTGACTGCCCTTCAAGATTCACTGGAGATCAGAAGGCCTCTCCCTGAGCAACTGGCCTGCCTCCCATGGCCCATGCACCCGCTGCCCTTCTTACCCCCGTCGGCCAGGGCTTTCCCTCAGAGCAGTGTCTGAGTGGCCCCCAAGTGCCTGACTCAGTGTGTGGCAACAAAAGAGCTCAACTAAATATTTTAGACAAATCATTAATAATCAAATGAACTGTTTTATTGGATATTGTCCAAAGTAACATCCTGCTTCTAATTCATGGAAAAGAGCATAAATCAGCCACAGCATGAGAGAGCACCTTGAAGAGTACTCCTAGTCCACAGCAGTTTGAAGCCTCTATAGGAAGAATAGCATTTCCTGAGCAATGGGGTTTCCCAACGTAGAGAGAGGGAACTGATCCTTGAGAGACGTTAGATTCCTCCATAGCCAGCCGGGGCGGGGGGGGGGGGCGGCAAATGTGCACCCAATTTGTTATTCCCATTGTTATTCCCATTATCTTCATTAGGCAACTGCGG